CATGTAAGTAACTACAACAGAACAGAGCTCAACCAAGATGGCAACTAGCACAACTTGACTTGCATATATGGCCAAGCTGTTCCCTCCCATGTGCACAGCTGGATGGCCTCATCCATATTGCTTACCAACAAGTGCCCTCAGTATATGGTCCACCCTGATCTGTTTGTAGAAGCATGCTAGATGCCACAGGTCAATCAGGAACATGGTGACCATCACATGCTATCAAGGGCCAGTGCTGGAGCCTCAGCCATGTTTAGATGACTAGCATAGATGTGGCCTTGAATTCCTGCAACTGAAGAGCACCAGGAACTCAGCTGAACTATGACTCATGAGGGAGAAACCAAGAATCGGTAGAAATTGATTCTTCTCAATTTAAAAATTCAGGGGAGATGAGCCATGAAACACAGCACTGCTGTTTCCATTATTTGCTCTTGTGAAAGGGTTGCTGTCATTATCCAACCATAAATGCCAAGTACATCCAGCTGTTGGAGCGGACCGAGAGAAGGGTGTCCAAGTCTAGTGGTTATCCCTTGACTGCAGAGATTGGAAATAAAAATGACCAGAGTGTAGTTGTATTTAGAAGTAAGTTTTGCTGTTACTTTTACCCAATAGTGCCCTGCCAGGTATCAGAAAATGGCTGGGGTTTTTTGAAGCTTTTCGGCCTTTGGCAAATAAGACTCAGATTGCTGTAGTCTGGATCTAAACCCAAACATATCTTGAGCTCATAAATTTGCACCTATTGATTACACTGATTTCATGTTGAACAATCTTATTTATCATAAGTGAAGAGATTCAAAACAACATGCACTTGAGACACAATGTTTTTCCTTACTGCTTTGATTTAGCATCTCCAGGTTAGCCCTGGCAGGTGCTAATACGAGTTATGTGCATGGTCAACTCACTTAGTTGCCTTCATTTACGAGAAAAGATCATCCTTTCAGGTAATTACTTCTTTCTTACTGATTCTTCATTTGCTTTCTTGCATACTGATTCAGTGGATTTAAGTGAAACTATTCACCCACGTAACTTCCTGTTCCTTATTTCAACCCCAGATGAAGTAATGAATTTTTAGTAAACTCAGACCAATGTATTTTTGATACATTTATTAGAACCAACTGTTATTTTAATAATCTTACTCATTTACCTGTAATAGTTTGCTCTGGTTTTTTTTGCAACCTTGATCCACTAAGCATTGGAAAGAAAATTTTGTCTTTCACTACTGGCTCAACCTGATTTTCTGACAGTTCTCTATTTACCATAGGTCAGCTATTTTTGAAAACCTTGGGGAAGTAGAGTACAAGTTTCTGGTTTGTGTTTCAGTGTGTTTTTTATTTTTTTATTTTCAGTATTATGCTGGTGATCTGGAGGAAAATTACATGTTTCAGAAAAAAACTGCAGATGAGAAAGGTAATGGCTTTTGTATCAAGAAACTGCACTTTGGAAATATACATTCAGAATAAGTGACCTACAGGCTTCCTAATGTTGGAAGAATCATCCAGTTATGTATCTATACAGTAGACATTAACTAGGATTCAACAATTAAAACTGCTGTCTCACCCAGTTTTCCAGGGATTAAGCAAAACCTTCCTTGCCACATCAGCTTCCTATCAGGTGTGCTAGATCCCAAGGAAGGAACAGGAGTCTACCTGACTCTCACACAATGGAAGACTAAAAGATAGGATCAGTGGTAAAAAGAGGTGTGGAGAGTTGTAGCAAAGAGACTAAAAGCAGTGAACCTGCAAACCTCTGAAAAGATGCCCTAAGGGATAGGTGAGACAGAGTTGATGAAGCATGCAGGCAGGGAGTTGGCTGAGCAAAAATACCAGGACGCAGAACTGTGAGAGACTGAGAACAGAGCCAGGGGATAAGGAACAAGTGATGAGAAGCCAGACACAGAATAGAGAGATGGAGGGGAGTGAAAGGTGAGACTAACACTGTCAGAACAATGTCATAGAGCTCTTCCCAAATACAAGATGTTCAAGTGTGTGGGATCCTTACGTGTGAAGGAAGGAATTAAACATGGATATGGCTCTGTTTTGACTATCTTTTCTTGTGTTCATATGTACAATAACAGAATCAAAATTCAGTGTGACCTTATAGCCAAAAAAAGTCACAAGGTAAGGAAAAATACAACTCGGTGTCTGAGCAGGTAAGTTTTTAAAGGGAGAGCATGTAGAATTACACAACCTCAGAAAGAAAACAGCAGAATGCAGTGCAGCTCTAGAAGACAGGAAATAATTGGAGCAGACTGTTGTTACGGGCAAAGGGTGTCTTACACTTCAGTGACATCCTACTATGTCAGCAGCAGGCAGGGAGAAATCTTAATGCCCCTGAGCATTTTAATTCATTAAAAATTCCTGTTACATGAAAGGCTGCTTTTTCCATCAATCAAGAACCTGCAGAACAATGGTCAGAGCTTTGGCAAACGATACAAAGATGACTGATTCATGCAATTATCAAACTCTACATGCTGAACTAATTTGCGACAGAATAATGATAGGACAAAAATCCAGGCTCTCAAATGAAAACGCTTAGAGAGCCCATTAGTTACACAGAGAACTAAAGATGTGCATAGCTAGTGAACAAGCTCACATCCAAATAGAGAGCATAAGCTAAACAGTCACAGAAGTATTTCAGAAGGCAAAACAAGGAAAGCATGAAAATTTAAGGAAAAACAAAGGAAGGCATACAAACACAAAGCAGAATAAGTGAACAAGTCCCAAAGATCTGTGGCTATTGTGAAAAAAATATAATGAAATGCTCTTTTTGTGGGGTCACATGCAAAAATTCTGACAAGGCAACTCATTATGCAAAGGACTGCTGAGAAAAAAAAAAAGCCCCCATACTGAGGAAGTAAGCAGTGACTCAGATTTTGCATCTATGTGACATCAGTGCAATGCAGAACAGCAAAAAACAAATGGTCTGCAAGGTTCAGACTAGCACCAGATGCGTAAGAAATGGAATGCAAATGAACAGTGGACATCAATGTGTGTGAGAGGCCTCAAAGACCTCTTCAGAAGTGTACACAAATATTAAGGAAAACAGCAGAGCCATATTTTAAATTTTCTAATTATATAAACACGGCACAACAAGGACAAGTAAATCAAGACTATCAGGGCTATTAAGCAAAAATTAGGTAGAGTAAAAGTTCAGGTAGTACAGCCATTACAGAAGAACATTTAGCAAAAAGAAGAAAGCACTTTAAACATGAATTACAGATAATTCTGATAAGATACACATAAATATGAACCATATCCTGTGCGGCTTGTGCACTATTGTATCCATGCAAAAACAACTGCACATTACAGGCAAGCCAGTAAGATGCTCAAAGATAAAAATTGATCAGTATCCCACTCTTAAAGCAATACAATATTGGTAATATTTTGGCTGCCCAGGGCAATGGGCACAGCACCAGTACTGACAAAGCTCAACGAGCATTTGGACAATGCTCTCAGACATGGGGTTTGAATTCTGCTGATCCTATGTGGAACTGGAAATTGGACTTGATGATTCTTGTGGGTCCCTTACAACCTCAGTTTGTAAGCCTTTGATTCTATGCTTTTTGCCATTCTTTTCTATGTGGTCATCAGATGTGATTACATACTAACACTTTGGACAGTACGGTGGAAGGACACAAAAAAGGTAGTTGCTAGGAAATGCCAGCATACTCTTCTAGAAGCAGTACTGCTTTGGGGGATGCTCTAGCAAGCTCACCAGCAGCATTGCTGGTGGGGACATGGCTACTCTCACCTCTCCTTCAGAAAGAGCCCAGAAATGAATCTGAAATGAAATATAATGAAATTTAAAATAACAACAATTCCCCTGCAACAAAAATAGGTAACTGTGATTGACTACTGGCAGGGAAGCTGTACAGCTGTTTCGATCTTCACTAAAGAGCAGGTCTTCTCAGATATTAGGGAGATCAGTTACTCTACCCCATAAATCCTGTGTCTTAGTGTGGTGGGTGGCTATCATAGCCTAAGGTCTTTGCCACCTCACCATTCCCTGGCCTGCCCAGGCCTCCATGCAAGCCCCAGTCCATCAGCCCCTGCACCAGTGAGGATTCAGTGGGCTGGGCTCCATCTCCCCACAGCCCTGCCCTGCCTAGACATGGCTTCTGCCCATCTGAGCCCACTCAGGTGCTCACAGCCCAGCCTGGCCTTGGCCCATCCCTAGCCCCACTGAGGCACCTGGTATGCAGGGCTGAGGCTGCCCCAGTGCCCTGCTCCTGGTGAGGCACTGGGATGGGCCCCGCGTGCTTGCACTGCCTGTTCCACCAGAGAGACCCTGGCACCTTTGGTAATGCACTGTTCAAGTAAAAGATAATAAGTTACATTTCCTGCATTCAAGTACCTACAGAGGCCTTGCAAACTAGCAGATTTATAAACAGAGTGAGGACATAGGCTTGAGCCCTGGCACACAATAGCTCAACTGTTAAGCTGCCAAGGCGCCTTCGTGACAGCACGCAGTCTCCCTGACAATGTCCAGCAACAGTTTTGGAAACAGCACAAGCCAGAGAATTGATGCTCCCCATCAACAGCCCAGGCAACACCACTTCTGAGGAATGGGAAGAGCAGAAAGACAGTTCAGCCATATTAAATTATATTAGCAAGGTCTATTTTATATAACACTACAAATGTAGTCAGATGAGAGATAAGTGGAAAATACCTCTCAGTGCTACTCACCTGGAAAAGCTTCAAACTGTACAATCAAGGAGAATTTAAACATACATCAGTAAAAGATAGTGAGTCTGCAGTGTATTTCATTGGATGTATGGTGCACAGGGCAGGTATGCCCTTACAGAGTTAGGCAGAGGAACTTCACACTATGGGATTGTATGGGAACTGCTGAGTCACGGCCTGAACCTCTGATTGACCATCTGAGGCAAGCAATGAGTCAGCCATAGGAGCACAGGTGAAGGTAATTCTCCTGTGCTACCGGAAGGGGTGAAGCCTGGCTCCACCTCTCCTAGATCCCATTTAAGAGCTGACTGGCACTGAGGAAGGATCTCTTCCTGGAGATCATTCCTTGTGGAGAATATTGTGAGCTTACAACATTGGTAAGCATTTTCCATTTATTATCTTACTGTTGTAATAATCTTACTTAGCCTAACTTTCCTGTATATTTCTTAATTATAACATCTGTATGTTCACTGATTATACAGGGACAAACAGCAGTTAAGTCAGAGCATGAGATTTTCAGCTGGCTGAAAGGTTGTGTACATCTTCTGTAGGAAGCTAATGTAAGATTTGGGCATAGCCCAAGATTTCCTGTTCTTGGTGAGAGAAAGAAAAAATGAATGAAAAAAGAGAAAGGAAGAAACACTCACTACAAACTCTGTTGTTACAGCACGCTAAAATGCTAAAAGTTAAATGAATTGACCTAGCAGTCCTCTCAGACAAGACAGAAAGAGATTCTAACAGCATAGACATCTCCATACTATCACATTAGCTAGTAAGCACTTGCTTACACATTTTTCAAAACAGAAACAACAAAATCAAACTTTTCTAATTCCAGTCAAGTACTCAAGTCAGATTGTTAAAAATGGTTACGTGCTACCAAAAGAAAGGTGAAAAAATGAAATGTCACATAATGACAGAATGCTTGAGGCTGTAAGGTACTTCTGCAGGCCATCTGGTCCAGCCCTCTGCTTAAACAGGGCCACTTAGAGCCGGTTGCTCAGGGTGACATCCAAACGTCTTTTGAAGCTCTCCAAGGATGGAGACCCAGAGGGCCACCTGCTCCAGTGCTCCATCACCCTCACAGTAAATCAGCATTCACTTATTTCAGATGAAAAAGTCATACGGAACATTCTTCAATTCCATTAGATAGACATTGGGGAAAAGAAAAAACCACCTGCTTTGTTGAGGGGAAAAGAAAAAACCCATAATAATGTGGTTGAGGAAAGGGGCTTATATGCTATATCTGATCAAGCATCTTTTTTTTTTTTTTTCTTCACTGCCTACTACAACAAATGTATCATAACTGATCTGTAAGAAATGCTGGAGGCAAGCTGTGGAGTTCACTGGGAGTTCATGCCATCATCATTTTTAAGACTGATTATGAAAGAAATTTTCCACCAAGCAAGAAAAGATTGTGTAAACTAGGAAAAGTGGCCTAGTTAAAGATAACTTAAACCTGAAGTCAGACTTAGGTGAGGAAAGAGACCACATTTACTACACATTCTCTGAGAATAAATCTGATGATAAGTGAAGCTAGGCCACAATGACAGGAAAAACTGGATTTGTATTTACATGTTCTCCTGTAAAAGGTAACCTAGTAGTAAATTCCTATTTTTAGTGACAAATAGGAATGCAGTACTACTGGGCTGAATAGTAGGAAAGGACAATATTGGGAGTTAAGGAGTTCTTTTTTTTAAGATTCACTTGCATTCAGAGCATCTCCAATAAGAAGGAAAATCTCCAGAGGTTATGATCAAGGGATCCTGATCTATGAACTAATTAAAATAGGACACGATTGCCCCACAACAGAGCATTTTTGAGATCCTAGCTAACTTTTCAGAAAATACAAATCCACACTTGTAGTCTTTGCTAAAATGAGATGTCATTTAATCTTGTCTGCTAACGAGGTATTTTTCATAATAGGCTCACAAACACCAGATGTTCTTTCTCTCGGGAAGTAACTCTGCTTGGAGTTGTGTATAGACATACTCCTGAAATACTTCCCACTACAGATATCTTTTAAGGATGTATGAAGTAGGACTACACACTTACCATATAGTTGGCAATGACTAATTTCTGCAGCATTCATGCCATATATTAGATCAGTAGAGTAAAACTGGTAAGCAGTTTTCCTGTTTTTTTTTTTAAAAAAAAAGCCCTTTAGTAAAAGGAAACTCATAGGTGTTTCATATTTAAAAAAAAAAAAAAGCCAAAAGTTGGATTGCAAAGAGTCCTAATACATTAGGCACCTTTCAGAGAATCCACCAGTGCAATATAAATAGAGCACAAGCCAAAAGCAAGAGATGTCATAATAGATTCAATGTATCCCAGTACAAGATGAAGTGCAAAGCAGTAACCAAGCATCAAAAGAAACATTTGAACTTTTTCCAGCATCTTGCTAAATAAGCAAAAGAATTTGTTCATAGACACAGAGGACGTTATTCCCAAAACAGAGTAATAAACTAGTTAAGTTAGTACTGATTTGTCTGAAACCATTTTTCAGGGGATGTACCTCGGAGTTCAGCATGTACACACATTATGTTAATCATGTTTCATTACCTCCCATGAATGTGACAGAATGGAAGCTACTTTATGAACCTTCTACAACTATTCTGTCTGATGTATGTTTACAAGTTAGTGCTTAGGAATTTAAAGACACTTACAGAAAGTACTTGTCAGTTATAACGTAAGGAGCAGAATAAAGCGTGGATACTGCTTTGTCTCAGCTGCTGTTTTACATCAATTGCATGTGAACTGCAAGGAATGGAAGCAGGCCTGAGAAAGGAGCTAGGAAAGTGCTTTTAACATGGACAAGCTATATAGGAAAGAGCAAAATAAGTCATCATGGAATAATAAAATGGCCTGGGTTGAAAAGGACCACAGTGATCATCCAGTTTCAACCCTTTGCTATGTGCAGGATCGCCAAACACCAGACCAGGCTGCCAGAGCCACATCCAGCCTGACCTTGAATGCCTCCAGGGATGGGGCATCCACAGCCAAGTGAAGATAAGAAAGAAGCATGCAGGAGAGCCTGTGGCCCTCGAGCACTCCCGGAGCTGAAGGAGACTGAGGATTGTGACTCTTGTCTCACATTCTCCATTATAGATCCACTAAGATAACCCGTTAGAAGAGACCCTCTTCCTTTTGCAACAGAGGCTATAACAGAATGGCACCCTATTACTGGTACCATCATGTGTTACGGTAGCCCAAGTGGCAGAAGGTGGCACCTCCTAGGGGCTCCATTCCCAGTACTGAATGACATAACAGTGAACGTGGAAAGATTTAGTGGAATCTGGGAGATAAAATTTGATACTCTGCCTTTCAGCACACAGCTAATACTATTCAGCTAATAGTGGGTTCTACTGCGAGAGTGACCTGCCTTTTCAGCCTAACTGGCAGTAAAACCCAGAGAATTAAGATGTTTCTGATGACCAAGAGAGAAAAACTAGCTGATGGCTCACAGAGTTGGAAGAGCTAACACTGTGTACTCTGTTGAGTTGCATGGCCTTAAACAAGAATGAACTTTCAATTCATTGGGAAGAAATGAATTTAAAACAATTCTAATAGAAGAAACTGGTACATGTTAGTCCAGTACTTCCTGAAATCTTTTCAGAGTATTCCAAGCAGTGAGACAAAGCTAAAATAAAGTAAAAGGTGCAGTCAGAAGATTTCTGTGGGTAAACCTAGATCTCGGTTCAAGTTTTAAAGTGGAAATAACTCATGGAGATACTGAGTATTTAGACTGGTGTAAGGAGAAAACAGTCTTCACTGGAGACAAATAGGAACGAAAATGTTTACAGCCACAGCATTTTTCTTTTCATTGCTGCAAGATGGCTTAATATTTGTTCAAACAGCAGGGAAAAGACAATTCCATAGCTTTAGAGAAGAACAAGTGAGCAAATTCAAATAATACCATAGCAACAACTGTATGATCACCTCAGTGAAAGAAAATTAGATCCCTCTGGATCATGTGTGTAGGCACTGAAGGAACTGATATCGAAATGCTGGAACTTTATAAAATGTTTTTAATGTATTTCATTCACTTTTTACTATTAATATTATGTAATTAGAGATGGGATAAATGGATTTTCCTGCTCTTCTGCAGTGTGCTTTCCTTTCATGCCACCCTTCACGGTCCCTGACGCTGACTGACTTTGGTGCTGAAGTGTGGTTAGTTACAGCCTGCTGCAATTCTAACTGTGCAACAACCTCATGTAATTTTGTAGTGAAAATCAACATTAGATGTGATGGGAAATAAAATAAACTAAAAAAAAGCAATCAGTCAAGATCATTATTTTCAGAAAATAAATAAATAAGAAACAATATACCCAGAGGTTTAGATCAGCTCATGTCTGCTGGAGAGGAGATGAGCAGCATCATAAACCCAGTGTTCCAGGCATGCTGGAGTGTTCAGGGAAGAGCGAATGGCAGATAGTCACATATAAATAGGAAGAGAGGCTATTCAATTTCTGTGTCTTTTACAGAATTCACTTGCATACTTCAAGGATCACAACGTCTTTTATTTTTACCTGTAAGAGCAACGATGAGAGGAGGAATTCCACTCTTTTTCAGTACAAGAAAAAAAGATGGAGATCTAACCAGAAAAGCCAGTTGTAGCCAACCTGCCACCTCAGATCAGCTGATTGTGGAGATATTCTCATGATCAATTGCATGCCTCACATACTGAAGCTAACAAAACACAAGATCAATTGCTAAACAAAACAAAACTTGAGATAAACTAGAAGCTGCATTTAACCATCTTTTTCCAATCCCCAACATTCAGATGTCTGTTTTCACCAAAGATGAGGAAAGCTACTTCAATTCTCTGCTGAAATCCGGACTGATGTTTTCTTCTCTGCTAAGTGGCATAATGTGAGACTATAGTGGTCTTCAACTTGTGTTTCTTGTCTAAAAAGAAAAGTAAAAACTAATTCCACACAACAGCATATTTTAGAAATGTACTTATTTTGTGTGCACACCATAGCCAACAGATTTTCTGACTTGACAGAACTCTGTTTATCACCATAAAGAATAATAAACCTCTGTGGTACAAATTTGGACCTCATGTTTACAGTGACACAAGAATTTTAAAATCTTTGATGTCAAAACCAATGTATTTCATCAAAATTAGTAAAACACACCATTCCATCTCTCCAAAAGGTTAAAAAAAAATATCTTTCTCATCCAGAGAATTCAAATAATTGCAGTGGGAGGTGAGCGTTCTCGTATCAAACAACATTGTTTTTACTTCCTATCATAACTGCAGTGGTTTAAATTACTCTTCATAGCAGTCTTAAAATTAATGTAGTTTGAATAAGAGTGTCTGCATACAGTGCATAGATGATGTTGTATCCAGAGAAATATTCTTTCACCAATAAATATTTTAACTTACAAGCAAGTCAAGAATTAAAATCCTAAGTCTTTTCATAGAAGACCCAACACATATTCATGGATAATGAAAGCTTAATTTGCTACAGAGCTGCCCTCTCTTCTTTCGGCTTCCTGAGATACTGCAGCAAATCCTTACATTTTTCTGATTTCCATCTCCTATGCACGGAGGTGGATGGAAAGTGGAAGACAAAGTTAGAAGAATATGGATCATCACTCTTAAACAAGCAGTTGCCCTTTTGTGTTTTGATCACAACCCCCAAAGCATCCAATGCAAACTCTGTTCTTATCAGAGCATTTTATCAGTAGGCTGAAGAATTTGTTTCAACTGATCTCATCCTGTAGCAAATAAACGTGACTTAGATAGTGGGCAAAATATTTTCTACTTGGATGAATTCTTCCATCTTTTCAGACTTCTGTCTGAGTTGGAAACAAAGGCAGTGAACAAATCTAAAATATTAATAACTCAAATATGTGTTTTTTAAGGGAGATGAACAAATGCAAGTTATAATGTTTTGGAATACAAAGGTATATAAAAGACAGAATTACGTGTTTTTCTTTTCCCAGAAGTAACTATTATTTAGCACAAAGACAGGAAAAAGCAAAAGCCAGTTCTTACAGGCTCACATTGGTACACCCAAAAAGATATTGGGGGTAAGAATAAACCAATGGCAATAACATAAGTTCTTATTTACTCTTTAAAATCAGAAGACTGTTGACATAGAGAAAAAATAAAATAAAATAAAATAAAAAAATTAAAGCTCAACTAACAGATCACAGAGCAATTTGACAGTCTCTTTGCATGTCTGAAGACTAAAAAAATGTATTTCTTTTTTTTTTTTAGACACTGTTCTACTGGAGAGAAAATGAATAGCAGTCAATTACATTTAAGGTCATTGTAAAACAAAATTTGCATACTAGAACAACACAAAAATAATAATCCAACTGATTGACAAAATCTTACTATTAAAGTGAATAACTTGGAAAGTGAAAAAACCATCTGAGAACCAATAATTTGCATTTCATGTTGAATTAAGAATATTATTGCTTTTGCCTTTATTTCCATAAATCTACTGAAATACCTTGAATAACTCAGTAGGATGTTCTGTCACTTCTCATTTTGGTGTTTGATGTCCCTTGAAAATGTTTGTGCTGTTTTCTTTTGCTCCCCCCTCCATAAACACAAGTACCAAAACAAGTGCTTATGGACTATCAGGAATGACTACTCAGATCCTTGGTGTGCCACCAAGACTTTCCAATAGCAGGAGCTTGACAGCAAGCACTTTCTTTGAAATGTTTTGATGGAAGGGCAGAGAGTCTGCTGCTGCCCTGCGTGTCCCTGTGGAGGTTGCTGAGGGCTCCTCACAGGTAACAGGAACACCTGCCAGAAGTTCTGGTGGGATTCCTGCTGAAATGACAGAAACAAGGAGCCACTGACCCATACACACTTGGAACAACTGTGCTTTGGTCATCACTAATATAGAAATGAAGGAGACAGAGCGCACATTTAATTTAAGCAAAATTTGGCAGAGAACAATATGGTTTTCATGCTGAAGCATTGTACGTAGCAACAAGTAAAGTTTTGTGGCTCAGGCTAAGATCAGATCAGCCCCTTGAATGTATTGAAAAGCTTTTGAAGTGTCGACCCAGAGACAGTTCTCACAGTGCTTGGGTAATGAAACTATGAAACTAAGGCCTACTTTGAATTCACCAGCAAATACCTCACCAGAGAAAGTCTAGAAAATGCAATTGCAGAGAACAGCACCGAAAAACATAAAGACAACTAAACTTGTCCTGTTTGTTAATATGCTGTAGGAAACAACAGCAAAAACAAAGCCATAAGAACTGGTGAAGAAAAGGAATAATAATCTGGATACTTCAAGTGTTTGTTTTCTTTGTCCAGAGCAATAGTGTAACCCTTTTTTGGGCTGAGAAGGCATTTTAATTTTCTTAGCATTGTTCTCCTATCAGAGAGCGAACATATTGATGAGAACATTTAAAACACAGACTATTCCTAATGCTCTAATGTCCAATTAGAGCTAAAACATTAGCTAATTTCAAAGAAAGAGTCTACAGCAGATGCCAGTGCTTTGGAAATTGCATCATGTTAGAATGCTTAACTGTTAGCAGAGAACGACACTCTTGTGTATTGTATTTGGCTTTAATCTGTTCTGAGAAATGCATTTACTTCATTTAAAAAGATTCCACTGTTTGTAGACACAGCTAATACAAACGAGTTTCCTTTTCACAAGATTATTTAATGCAGAACACTGTATCAATTATACCTTCCTACAGCAACTACTTAAAGTATCTATGTACATATGTATATGTACATCTGCACAGATCTTATTTTTACACCAAATGCATGTGTTTGCATGCATTACATATCTGTGGACTGGGAAGGCAGGTAGTTCTCACTTTCTGATTTCTCAGTGTGCAGTAAATACTAAAAGAAAAGAAAACAAACCAAAAAAAAGAGACAAGCAGAACTGATGGTAACCTGAAACATCATCCCAGCATTGGATTTTGTCCTGACAAATGTCTAGTCAACTCAAACCAGATTACAATCTTCTGACTATTTCAGTCTGTATCTGTCTGATGGTTTGATAGCAAAACACTTAGAAAATTCCACCTGCCCTGCTCGAATCTCCCCAGAGCCTTGAGAATGAATAGGACTTTCCCTGGAACTGCATCTTCTCTGAGATGGTACCCACTGCAGCACAGCGGCTCAGCAGCTGCTCCAGTTCGATCCTGGCAGCAGAGAGAAGGAGAAAGAAGTAAAGTGTTTGGGAACAAGTAACAAGAGCAGGAACTGAGAGGCAACACCAGCTCAGATTCTGGAGGTGTGGGGCACTGTGAGAAGAAAACAACGTGGAGTTGTGGAGCTGAGAGATAAAATTAAAGTTCTACCCCAGCCCTGAATATTTTGTGTGATTCTGAATATACCACTGATCCATTTTTTTCCCACCACAGACGATCAGTGCACAAGGAGATACCTTTAAATATCAGTTCCTAAATTGATTTGGTTCCCTCCTCCCGGGCTGTAATCTGCAGAGGTGCTGACTGAGGTCCACAAAACTGTGCTCTGAGCAGAGCAGCTGCCCTCATGAGAGTAACTGTTCAAAGAGGCCACAGGCATCCAAGGTTGCACAATTACAAATGAAGAGCACAATCCTTATGGCCTACAGGCTTACAGGAATTTAGGTGACTAACATACAGAACACTGATTTTGCTGGGAACTGAGAGTCTGAATATCCTTACTTTGTGGTTTTCCTTTTTCTGAAAAATCAAAAGCTTCATTTCCATCTGGAAAATAACAACTTCTCATAAATTCATTAGGTTGTCATGAGCAACTGAAAGAACCAGAGAATAGTTCCAAATGATCAATTCCTTTACCACAGGCAGTCCATCAGTGGGGAATAGCACCAGATTTGGGGATAACACTGTACAGTGGGGCCAAAATTAAAACTGCTCCTTCAGGGCACAGAACCACCCTACGCTCTGACTGAGGAATACACCTGAAGAGAAAGGGCTGGACTAAGATTCATTTTACAGACCAAGTTAATACATGCAACCTAAAGTCTGGATTTTCCTAATTACTTGCCACACTTACTTTACTCAGGACTGTTCTTTAGGACTCCCTTTTATCTTCATCCATTTTTTCTACAAATCTTGCTACCATATAATTTGCACGCAGGTCTCAGAAAATGTCAAGCAACAATCAGAAAGGAGAGAGGAAGATTTTGATCACATAGAATTTTCTGAATTGACTGCAGAATCATTTGAACATACAGTATAGGCTGCCACTCTGAAAGTCCTTAGCTTTATCTTGCTGTTGGAATGTGTTGTTTTGCTACTTCACAGCATGGGGGAATCTTTTTAGAAATACAG